TCCCTGCATGGCGGGTAACTTCACCTTTGCTATGAAGGCGGAGCTAAGGGCGTATTCGGAGCGACTTTTGTGTCAGCGGTTTTTGGCTTTTTCCACAAGCCGCTGAAATATCAGCGACTTTTTGCCTTCACTGACATTGGTTAATAACAGAGAAAAATCAACCAATCATACGTCCTAAAATTCATTGTCCATTTTCAGCTCTATGACAGAAAATTGTTGTCGAGTAGTGGCTGTGGTGGCCAAATATTCAGGCGGCGAGTGGCGAAACGACATAGAGTAGATATAGCGCATGAGAACTATGTATCTACGCAAGTCAGTCGTAAGTCGGCGGCTTGGAAATATAGACTGCCACGCTAATGGCGCACCGGTAAAGGTCAAACCGACCGACAATGCTATGTGTTTCAACCTTGTGCGTCGGTGTGACCTTCTCTTTCCCGAAGGAGTCGTGCAGTCATCACTACTAACTCTAGGCATGCGCAACCCATAAGATCAACGCCTAGCTAACCTGAAATCAGTTTACACTACACAGAGCCTGGGGTTCAGTAAGAGTAGGAGGTCGCGCGGGAGGGGAATGTGTACAGCGTTCGATGCGTTGTGTGTGCAGCTACCTCGACATGGAAATGACTTACCACAGCCGTGCTTCACATGGGTAAAGTTCTCCCGTCGAGGACCTACCAGTACACACCGGAGTGGAGTGATGAACCACCGGCACCCGACAAGGGCGTGCTTTGGGCGTGCTCCTGCTGATCTTGAATCCAGGGATGCGATTCACTTCCCGACAGACTTCAACCCATGCCGCCATCACCTTGCCGTAGCCCGCTTCCCATGGCTTCGACAAGTTGACTTGCTTGAGCAACTGGATGTCGTGGAGCAGTCGAACTTGTCGGGACGGGATTGGGCGTCGTCGACTTGTACGACTGGGTTGGCTGGGCTGTCGATTGTTGACATGGCAGGAATCGAAGTGAAGGAATGGTCATCAATTGTTTTATTATCCGGATGTTTATCGGAATTGACGATGTATCTACCTCAGCAAAGTTTGGGAGATAGAGGTGCCTGAATTTCCAAAATGTGTTGAGATTCACACAATTTGGAGAACGTGATTTTAGAGGCTTAAAGATTTATAGATTATTTTGTGCTATCTGACTGTGAACTCAAAAGTGGACTACCGAAAACTCTCTAGTGTACGACCGTGCTATGGAATTACAGTAAGCCCACATGTATGTCGCCCTAGTGTGAAGAACCCTTGACAAAGCAGGAGTCACTACCTGTAGAATACATGATGGTAGTCATATTCGACTATGGAGTAGATAGGCTTACAGTAGTATGATGAGCATTGAAAGCTGGCCTCGAAGTGGACACTCGATTGCAGCTACAGTGTCACAGTTGCAAATACATGATCCGGATCCACGTGGCTGTACCCCGCCACACAGGTTGAAGACAAAGTCAGACCCGAACCCACAAGCAACCAACGACGCCGCTACGTGCCATGGAAACAGCAAAGGACTGCCGCTCCTTTGCTTTGGACCACACACGGCCCTTTATGTTTACCAGCTCCAGATGGATGTCCTGCTTAGCTTAGCCGTTGCGTTAGATTGTTATAACGATACCAATTCACTTCGCAATTTACCAACTAATGCGCCTTCCTCTGCGTACGCGCATTTACACCTGGTAGCACTACACGTTCATCCACGGCCTATGTCTTCCTCCTCCTCCCCCATTTACACAAAGCAACTAATCCTCGACCTCATGTACCTGGTGTTTGGGAACAAGACACCGCAATCCTTCTCGGTGGTCTCTCCCCCATGAACCAAGCTCGTCTAGTGGAGGGCATCTGTCGACTTATCGACCAAGCCGTCACGGATACTGTCACCCCCCTGACTGCACTTCATATATGCAGCTCTTGAAAGCCAGCTGTCCACCATTGCAGCCCATGATCGTAACTTTGAATAATTACACGCACGCAGTCCGAGTGAAGGCGAGCGCTGAACGTACGCGCTCCATAACTCCGACCAATAAAGCCCCTCACGGCTCAAGCCGATCATGCTCGAGGTCACGAAATTCGGTGGAGCGGAGTCGGACAAACTCCTCCGCTGGATCCTCCAAGTTGAGACGGCTGCGAACGCGCAGTGTCCTGGATGACGACACTCGAGTCGCATTCGCGATATCGCACTTGATGGGTCGTGCCAAAGACTGGGCGTTTTCCAAGCGTCTCACGGTCCCCTGGTGCGTGACGTTATGCTGGTGAAATTCGGGAGAGAGATGCACGTGACGTTATCGTGTAGATGCATCGCAACCTGGGCCAGGTGCTAGGGGCGCTGCCGCCGACCACGCGCGTATTTTGTGGCCACGAGTACACCCTCCAGAACCTGAGCATTGCATTGTTTGTCGAACCAGACAACGTGGCTGTGCAAACCAAGGTACTACTACTAGTACTACTAGAACCAACCGGTACTGTATGGCAGATCGCGTGGGCGGTGACCAGGAGGGCGAAGGGCTGCCCACGGTGTCGTCCACGCTGGCCGACGAAGTGGCGACCAAACTGTTCATGCGCATCAATGAACCGACAGTTGCCAATGTACTACTATGAGTAACTACTACTAGTAAACACTACTAGTACACACACACACCGTACATACATTCCGAGACTCGGCAAATGAATGTTTGTAGCATGCACCCCGAGGGTCGCGGCTGGCAGACGTTATGACGCACCTGCGTCAGATGAAGGACGACAACGTCCACCACGTCGCCGCAGCGCGCGTGAACGCGTAAGTAGCATGCATTCTGCTTGATTTCTTTGTTGTCTTCATTGGGAATGCATGTCTCATTTTTCTTGAGAATGTTGGTCACAGTACGCCTCCACCGCCCCGGTGGTCCATGGCGAGTTGCTCGGGCGATGGGACGAACGGGCATGAAGGGTCTGTCTGACTGCTGGGTCGTGTCCTTCTGTAGGCTGCTGCTGGAAACGTCGAGCAAGGCCACGTCCGCCACCCAGGGCGACACTTGGCGATGAAATCTCTGAATTTTGCCCTAAGTCCATCACAAAATACGAGCGTTAGATGACATTACTACCGACAACAGGCCCAGCTAGTATATTGTAACTGGGTCACCAAACCAACGCTCAAGACGAGCCATAAACAGAGTCCAGGATAAACGATATATACACACATTGTAGTGTGTGACACTGTATGGTACACTGTACATAGCGTGGTCAAGTGCGAGTCGCACAGATACGTGGGCACGCCGGACGCGATGGCTTCGGTGATCATGGAGTTGGAGTCGGCATGCCGTGACAGGCTTCTCCTCCCTCGACGACTTCACGCACGAAATGACGTCTACGTTCCTGGCCCCTCAATAGCGACTTTCGTTATCGCGCCAAGTTTCTTGAATGCAAACAAGAAAAGCGTTCCCTCCAAGAGTGTATCCACGACTTCGCTTTTTGGAAGCGAACATAAACGACGAAGAATCGCTTCCTGAAGCGATGCACGTCACTGTGTTCATGGCCGGGTTGAACCAAGGCCCCGCACGGACTCAGCTGTTCCGCGAATATCCCACCACGTTCAACGCCGCTGTTCGAATGGCGCTCTCAGAGTCGTTTTCATCGACGCTCGCCCACAGGCGCATGGGTTCCTCCGACATGGAGTGTCAGCGGTTGCTCATGGTGTTGAAGACCACAAATGTTTCAACTGCGGTCGGGTGGGTCATCTGTCGCGGGCTTGTCGTTCCCCCCGCCCTGTCAATTCCGATCGTCCGCGTCCCCAGCACACACCCTCCTTTTCGTGCGGTCCATCGCGCCGCCAGCCCCGTTCGTTCCAGATCCCCGCTGGGGCGGAAAACGGTCGTTCCCAGTAGGCGCGAAGCGGTCTACTGGGGATGTACTGGGTCTATTGGAGTTGTGTGGCGCGTTGACACACTCCATAGCCCCAACCTCAGACACAGATCTCCTTCTGTGTCGTATTGGGTTCCAGCCCAAGAAAATGCTGTGCTTTTCCCTTCTCATGCCTTGCTTCCCTGCCAGACTCACTGTTCTGATCGATTGTGGAGCGTCTAACAACTGCGCTAGCCGCTCTACCCTTGGTCGATTAGGTTTTGTCCCTCGATCGGATAACTCCGATCGGGTCAGTGTGAAGATGGCTGACGGTCATATCGCGTCTCAACCCCGCGTTGTGCCTGGATTCGCTATCAAATTCGATGATCGACTCCATCGAATCCTTCTTCGTGATCGATCTCTATGAGTGGTGGGATATCATATTGGTATGTCGTGGTTGGAATCTCACCAACTCTGGATCGCCTGACAAGCCAAGACCATTCACAAGGTCACTTGGCTTTGCAACCAATAACCTTGGATTCATCGGCGCGTTGCCGACAAGTCCCCCCCTTCGACTTTCCCAGCCGACCTTCCTTGCCATCGTGGCGATGAGTAATGAACCCGCCTCTTGTCCCGCCTCGCCGCGTTTGCTGGCCCCAACGCAGCTTGGTTCGCAAGTCTCGACACCGTCGCCGTCCTTAGCCCGCCATCGTCACGGACGATCGCCGTCAAAACGCTTGTTTGTGAAGCGTGTAACCTGGACGAGTTGCCTCGGACATCCTCCAAGATCCTAGCATTGCCAGATATGAGTTTCAACGCATCCCTCCGTGCCCAATAGATCCGGGGTATCGCTATGATATCCATTGACGCGGAATTGGATCTCCTCTCGACGTCCACGGCGGACGATTCGGTTCTACCACCGCCAGCGAAATCCCAGATGTGGTCCCTCCCTACGAACCCGTATTTCGACCTCCTCCGCGAGTTTGCGGACGTCTTCCCTGACAAAGTTCCCAGTCACCTCCCTGTCGACAAAGGCGTACGACACGAGATCGATCTCCTGCCGGGCACGAAGTACTGTGTCACGCAGCAGTGGCCGCTTCCCCGCGAGCAAGTGGAAGCTATCGACGCGTTCTATGCCGCGCGAAAAGCCGCCGGACATGTCCGCGAAAGTATTTCGCCGCACATAGCCTACGTTCTGTGTCAAGAAACCCAACGGCAAGTGGTGTTAACCAGGATATCTTGATACGCGCGCGGGCTGACCTTGGTGTCAGGGCGTTTGGTCGAAGGAGTGCAAATGTGAAAGTGATTATAGCTATTAGACCAGCTAGCTAGCCCATGCCACATCTCGTGTCCCTGGTCTGATGTCAGTGTCAGAGACGGATAGTGGCTCTATATCTACATATGTAATGGTGTAGTCGTGATCAACACCAATCTGGCTACGATCACCGCATGTGATCGTACCACGTTTCACGGCCTGTGGCTGTCTTGGTCACTCAACCATAGCTGCCCTCCTGGCTCCGTTAACACTCCCCATGAGGGACCAAAGTCATGCCAGTGCCATCGAAGAGATTTTGCAAGGAAACACGTGTGGCTATCTTTGTCATTGCGTCGGCCAACATAGCCTTGGTCTCAATGTATTCGAACGCGATGGTCTTGTCTTGCACCAGGTCGCGGACAAAGTGGTGGCATATGTCAATGTGTTTTGACCGGTCGTTTACGGCTCGGTTCGCGCTCAACGCAATGGCTCCCTGGTTGTCATAGCACACGACAGTTCTCTGGTTGGTGCCCAAGTCAAGCAAGATCCCACACAGGAATATGCATTCCTTGGCTGCAGCGGCCATGGCTACATAGTCGGCTTCACATGACGAGGTGGCAATGGTCTTCTGTCGAATCGAACGCCATGAGATCGGCCCCCCGTTGAGGATCCATATCTGGCCGCTGATCGATCGGCGGTCTGGTTTGGGTGCCCAACTTGCGTCGCTGTAGCCATGCAGCTGCATGGTGCCGAATCCATACGCAATGCCAACTTCCATAGTGCCTTTGATGTATCGGAGTACACGTTTAGCCCCTTCAATGTGCTTCGTTGTTGGCCGATGAAGGTAGCGGGACAGGCGTTGGATGGAATGGGCAAGGTCAGGGCGTGTACACGACATGAGGTAGACTAGGCTCCCCACCATTGACTGGAATACGTCGACATCGGCTGGCTCCCCAGGTTCGTCCCACTCGTCTTCGGAGCCCACAACTTCTGGCGTTGCAACCCGAGAGCAGTTCTCCATTCCGAAGCGCTTGAGCACCGCCTTGGCATAAGTTGCTTGGTTTAGAGTCGTGATGCCGTCAGCCTGGCTGATCTTGATGCCGAGCAGATACTGCAATGCACCTTGTCGTTTCAGGCGAATCTTACCATCGCCTTCCATGGCGTCAAGGACCGCAACAACAGCTTCCTTCGTAGATGCCGCGATCAAGAAGTCATCCACATAGACGCATAGCAGGGTGATCTTGCCGTTTGACGTCCTAGTGTAGAGGCATGGATCATGGAGGCTTGGAACAAATCCGATCTTCTTTAGTCCAGCGTCGCAGTAGACGTTCCAATGTAGGCCGCTCTGTTTCAACCCCCACAAAGGGCGGATCATTCGGAGTTTGCTGCCCATGGGTCCGAGTTGATGTCCAGGGGGTTGGTCCATGATAATGCGTTCGTTCTCCGGAAGGAAACTCTGCAGGTATGCATCGACAGCTTCTGCTTGCTCCATGCGGTATTCGTTTGCGGTTGCAAAACTGATCACGGTTCGTAGCGTCACCAGCTTGACCACAGGTGAGTACGACTGAAAATAATCAACGCCTTGCTCCTGCGTGGAACCATTTGCCACCAATCGGGCCTTGTAGCGCGTCACGTTCCCCTCACTGTCGATTTTCTTTGCGTATACCCAATGACACCGGAGGGATCGTTGAGACGTCGGTACTTGTTGAATCTCCCAAGTCCCGTTTGCAGTCATGGCATCGATGGCTACTTGCTCGGCTTGTTTCCATTCCCTCGCTTCTGTGCTGCGCATTGCAGCATTGTGTCCCCGCGGAACATCAGTCTCAATGTTGTAGCAGTAGTCCAATGGGTCCATTGATGCGTAGGCGTACCCTTCGTCAGGGGACCGGTTTGGAGGTCGTCGAGGTCGGGTGCTGTGGCGTGGTTCGTTGCGTTCAACATTTTTCCGAGCTCCATGGGCATTTTCTTGGCGCTCCTGGTGATTTTGATCCCGTAGGCGAGCGTTAAAATCCTGGCCTCGGATGGTTGCATGGGGTTGCCCATTGTTGCCGGTGGGGGTATGTTGTAGTTGTCTCTGGCTTCGTTCATGGTCACGATCTCTTTGGGTGCGTTCTACATCTCGTCGGGCCGCACGAGCGTCGCGTTCACTGCGTTCGTGCTCACGCTCTCGTTGGGTTCGCTCTGCATCGCGTCGGGCCGCACGAGCGTCGCGTTGACGGGCCGGAATTCCAAGCAAGTTTTCAAGGGAGTGGCGGATCGTTCGTGGAGGTAGTGACGAACTGGAATTGCGTGGAGGCAGTGCAGGACCAAGGGCATGCGGGGCATTGGCATCATTAGCAGGAAAACTGTCGTCGTCGGAATCGTTGCCTGCGTTGTGTGGTGGGTCATCGTGGGGATGGGCGTCGTCGTCGCCTCCGTCTGTCCCACCATTGTCGTCAGCACTCTCCCCATCCTCACTGCCAGAGTCGCTGGGATATTCCTCTGGTAGATCATCGTGGAGGAAAATTGACTAAAAAAACTTGACGTTGACTGAGAAGACGAGTTTGTTCGCGTCGAGGTTCAAGAGGCGGTAGGCTTTCTGGGTGTCGGAGTAACCCAAAAAAATGCACTTGACAGCTTTGGGTCGTAGTTTGTCTCGTTTGGCCTGGTATGGAAGCAGGTGGAAACAGATGCACCCCCAGACTTTCCAATTTGACAAGTTCGGCTTCTGTCCGAGTAGAAGTTCGATGGGAGATTTGACTCTGTCGACTGAGTTCACGAGGCGGTTTCGAAGAAATGTTGCGGTGTTGATCGCTTCTCCCCACCATACACGGGCCATCGAAGCGTGTGTGAGCATCGCCAGGGCCATCTCAAAAATGGTTCGGTTGAACCGCTCCGCCTTCCCGTTTTGAAACTGCGAGTCGACGGCGGAGGTTTTGTGCTTGATTCCGAGTGTTGTTAAGGACTGGGAAAACTCCTTGGATAGGTACTCTCCTCCATTGTCCGATCGGAGGCACTTGAGCTTTGTACCAGTTTGGCGTTCGAGCCACGGGAGGTATTCCATCAAGAAAGCATCAGCTTGGTCGGACTTGTTGCGTAGGATCTTCGTCCATGCGTAGCCAGAAAAATCCTCGATGTAGGGCAGCATGTATCGGCCACCACCATTCGTAGTGGTTCGCATGGGTCCCTTGATGTCACTGTGGACTAGCTCACCCAGGGACCAGCGTCTGATTGCGCGTGGTGGATGTGGGACTCGAGTCATCTTCGAGGTCTGGCAGCACTCACACAGGCTCAGTTTGGAGTCAAATTTTGGGAGCTCGGGGCACTGCATGGAGCTCCAACGCATGTTCTCCAACATGACGTGGCCCATGCGAAAATGCCACAGATCAATGGTTCGAGGTGGCAAGGTCGTCGATGTCGGGGGGGTGGAGCGAGCGGCTTGAACGGCATCCCCGACAACAACGCCCACAAAATCGTCCAAATGGGTACAGACGTCACCTTCCAAAATGAACAATTTGGAACGTGGATCAAATCGAGCAGTAGCTATTTGACATCCACCTGCACGGATGGAACAGACTTGGCTAGAGAACGACACATCAACGTCAGGGTTGTCGACCGTTATGCGAGAGATTGATACCAGGGTGTTCGTCACACTTGGTTCGTACAGCACGTCGGTCAGAACCAGGTGAGCTCCATCGATGCTGGCAAGTCGGACCTTGCCCATCTGTGTGATGTGCATCCGGTGCCCGTCAGCCACAACAACGGATCGCTCACATGCGACGCGGTCGTATAGAATGTCGAGGTTCCCTGTGATGTGGCACGATGCGCCAGAATCCACAACCATGCGGAGAGTCGACAGTGGTAGCGACGATTTACGAGAAGAAAGTTCGTGAGGCTGATCCGATGGCATCTTAGGTCCGATAGAGAAGAGGTAGTCCTCGTCATAAACTGGCTCTGATCTCACGGCATTCGCATGGGCTGATGGTGGGGCGACCTGCCGGGGTTCACGTTGTCCACGCCCCCGCCTGCTTTGGCTAACTTGGGTACCACGGTCTGGTCTCCGACAGTCACGAGCCCAGTGTCCAATCGTCCCACAATTGTGGCACTTGTCGTGGCCTCGAGAACGTTGTCTCTCGTCCCCGCATTCGATGGGTGGCCTTCGATCGTGGTGGACGACAAGTACAGCGTCGTTCATGTTTCGCCCTCGGACCTTGAGAATACCTTCCTTTTGGAGATACTTGTACTCGGTGATCAACTTGGTTACGGCTATCGGTACAGTGTGGAACTCCGCATTCGAGTCCATGATCATGTGGCTTACCATCCGCATTTCCTTTGGCATGAGCGATAGCAGCTTGGTTACCCGAAACGACGGCAACTCGTTCAGTGCGGCACGATCCAATCGGCGCGTCAAGTCGCGGAATGAGCCTAGGAACTCCTCGAGGGGAACGTTCTTCCAGTCCCAGCTGAGCGTGTGGTACTCTTCCAGCAGTGCGACACGGTCGGCAGCTCCGATCGGTTCATGGATGGCTGTCAAGTTGTCCATGGCAGTCTTGACCAGCAGGGCGCCGTCCACGTATTGGTACTGTGACTCGCTCAAGCTCTCCGTGAGTATCCCAAGTCCCCGGAGATTGTCCAATTCATTGTATTCAAACCCATTTGCCCCTTGGGCAACGGTGCCGTCCCAGTCCAGGTAGTTCGCCAGTCGCTTTGTTTGAAGTTTGGCGATAAACCACACGCGCCAGGAGGCGAAGTTGTGGGTCATCAAAGTGATGGGCGGCATCTTGATTTCGATTGGTTGACTTCCACCAATCGCAGCACTTCACCAGTAAGTTGGGCTCAGAACCTGTTAACCAGGATATCTAGATACGCGCGCGGGCTGACCTTGGTGTCAGGGCGTTTGGTCGAAGGAGTGCAAATGTGAAAGTGATTATAGCTATTAGACCAGCTAGCTAGCCCATGCCACATCTCGTGTCCCTGGTCTGATGTCAGTGTCAGAGACGGATAGTGGCTCTATATCTACATATGTAATGGTGTGGTCGTGATCAACACCAATCTGGCTACGATCACCGCATGTGATCGTACCACGTTTCACGGCCTGTGGCTGTCTTGGTCACTCAACCATAGCTGCCCTCCTGGCTCCGTTAACAAGTGGCGTATTGTTCATGCCTTCAACAAGCTGAACACCGCCACCATCCCGGCTCAAACATCAATCCCCCGCAAAGATGTCATCATTGACGGCATGGTCCGTTCCAGCATCTTTTCCACCATCGACTTGCGCGATGGCTTCTATCAAATCCTGGACGATGTGCCCAAAACAGCGGTATCAACCCCCAGCGGCATGCTCTGGGAGTGGCTGGTGATGCCACAGGGGCTTTCCAACGCCCCCGCCACGTTCAATTATGGTGACCGCAAAGTTTCGCGCCCTGCGTGACTTCGCCCCCTCATATTTCGATGAAATCTACATCCACAGTCGCGCGTCGGCAACCTCTTCGGATGCCGAGGTACATCGCGGACATCTCCGCGCGGTTTTCGAAGTCCTCCGCGCTAACGGCCTTTACGCCAGCCAACCACGCCAAATGTCGCTTTGGCGTCGACGAAATCCCTGTTCTCGGTGACTTGGTGGGTGTACGCGACTGTCGGGCTGATCCCGGCAAGATTCAGGCCATTGAGGACTGGCCCACCCAATCCTCCGTCAACCACCTCCGGCGTTGGTTAGGGCTAGCCACCTACCTCCATAAATACTCGACGAACTTCGCCGACCTCGCCCAACCATGGTTTCGTCTTTTGGTTTAAAACCCTCCTTGGGTGTGGGGGGACTCCTGTCAATCCTCCTTCGATGCCCTCAAGACCAGTCCATTCTGGCGCTTCCTGACTTCGGGCGTCCATTTTCGGTTGTGTGCGATGCATCCAAATTCGCAATTGGATGTAGCCTGAAGCAAGCCGACGCGGACGGACGCGCCCGTCCCGTGTCATATCAAAGTCGAAAACTTCTTCCGGTGGAACGCTCTTATCCCGTTCACGATCTCGAACTTCTGTCGATGAAGTACGCCCACATCTAACTCCTTGGTAGCAAGCCCTTCGTGACCTACATCTACGGATCACGTCTCCCTCCACACGGCGACCAACTGGCCGCACCTCTCGCAGTGAATGGATCGTCTTCGCTTGAGTTTACCTTCACCGTCCAGTACAGTACAAACCTGGTAAGGACAACATCCTTGCTGACGCCCTCTCTTGGCGCCCCCCGACCTAGCCCTCCATACTGTCGGGTTCCTCCATTTCGACCTCCAAAATCGCATCCGCGCTGGTTTACGCCTCGGATCCCACGTGTTCCGCGCTTTTGTTGGCACCTGCTTAGTCAAAGCCAAGCCGTTCCGTGTCATTACTGCATCGCTATTTCGTCCGCGATGGTCTCTTGTACTTTAACCCATCTCGCGGCGACGAACCTCGCATCGTCGTACCAAGCGACGCGCCATTACGCGTCGCAATTCTCCGGTCCTTCCATGACTCTCCCAGCGGTGGCCATTTCGGCAGCGACAAGATGTTCCACGCGGTCGCGCGTTCATACTGGTGGCCGCGTCGCTATAAATCCGTGGTTCACTACGTCGCTCATTACGACGCCTGTCAACGCACTAAGATCACCACGACCTCCAAAGCGCACTTCCGACGAACTTTGGTCGTCGATCAGCACGGACTTTATGTGTGGCCTTCCGCGCGATGTTCGCGGCCATACCGGCATCATGGTGTGTGTCGATCGCGCCTCCAAGTACTGTATGTGGTGGCAATCCCCGTCAAGGACTCGGTGAGCGGCCACGATGCCGCCCGCCTCTTCTTCGACAACGTCTTTTGTCGTTTCGGCCTCCCGCGATCCATTGTTTCCGACCGCGACCCCCGTTTCACTGCTCACATCTGGTCGACACTCATCGACCTCTGCGACACTGACCTCGCCATGTCCACCTCCGACCACCCTGAGTCAGACGGTCAAACCGAGCGCGCCAACCATGTCCTCGAGGACATTCTCCGCTCCTACTCCGTCCGTCAGTCCTCCACGTGGAGTACCCTCTTACCCCACGCAGAATTTGCATACAACACTTCGTTCGGGCGTCCACCGGGTTCTCGTCCCATTAAGCGGTTCACTTGTAGCACCCCTGGTTGCCTCAACTCCTAGACAGTCCTCGCTTGAGGGGGGAGGGATCCAAATCAACGCCCCCAATTTCCCGATCCGGACAATACAAGATGTAAAGTCCTTCGTTTCCAAGCGTCAATCTGTCATGCAACATATCAAAGACAACTTAACCGCCGCCCAGCAGCACAAGCTACCCAAGCCGACAGGCGCGGTCGTTCAACATGGCGATTTTCCAAGTCGATGACCAGGCCCTCCTTTACAAGTCCGCTATCCCTACCCATGCGTTCCGCGACAGTGGTCAACATAACATCAAGTTGTTAAGCGCATGGCACGGCCCCTTTGCCGTCAAGAAAGTTGTCAGCCCGACTCATACACCCTCGACCTGCCACCAGCTTGGCAGATCCACCCAACCTTCTATGTAGGAAAGCTCAAATTATACCTTACACCGTTACCTACGACTACCAACGGTGCAACGACGGAAGGTGGTCACTTGGACTCCGCGCTTCGACCCCATCGCAAACCCCTGCAGTGTTTGGCGCACGTTGGGCACCCGCAGGTCACCAGTACTTGGTCCAAGACGGGCCATCTGCAACATGGAGATCAGACGCAGAGACAAGAGCATCCTCACCTCAAGAGCGCGCCGCATGCGAACGCGGACTGCGAGCCGGGAGACTATATCTGCGGGCACCCGTCCGCTCGCAGCTAGTACCAAGTCGAAATTAGTCATCCCGTTCGCCAACAGCCCTACAATGTGCGGCAATTGGTCCAGCCACCGCTGCAAACGCGTTTCAACAAAACCAAGACGACCACAATAATGTACTCAACATCGTCTCGTTTTGGTATCGTACGACCCCCAGCGCGTCGTAGCTCTAGTCCGAGATGCGTTCGCGCATCTTGTTCTTCCAGTTCACAAATTCCGCCAAGGGAATTTCCAAAATCGTCATGTGCTCGAAGGCACACACCAGCCACCTCCCCTGAGTCTCGAACAACCCTCTCCGACAAAAGAGTGAGATATCGCTCCACCAGCTTGCGCAACGCCGGTGTCCACCCCCAATCCTACAGCCGCGAGTAAAGCTGCTACAACACCCACAATCGGCGCGTTATGCCGTTGATGTAGTCCAGAGAGACGCCGAGGACGAAGTCGTCCTGTTCGTGAAGCTTCAGGGTGCGGACATCCTCCAACCCAACTGGCGCCGCTTGCCCAACCGGTGCCTCTTTCACCTGTACCAACGCGGGTGTCGCTCTCGCTTTGTCTTCCCCGCTTGCCCCTCGGCAGCTTGGGTTGCATGCGCTTCGGCCTTGCTATCGACACAGCCATTGACTGCTCGGTCGCCTGCTCCATCTCCCGCTGGAGTCCCATGTCCTCTTTCTGTGCTCGTCGAAGGCCACGATCTCATTTTTTAGCAGTTCCCGCAATGTCATGGGTCCCACTGTGCGCAGCGCCGTTTGGTTCCAAATCAACAGCTATATTGTGCTCCACATCGATCCGCTGCTCTTCCTTCTTCATAAACAAGTCAAGCAGCGGATCTTCACGCCCGTCCGGGGCCATTGCTCCCCGTGAAGAAGAGCTCGTAGCTGTCTGAGTCGTCTCCCGTCAAGTCCACGACCGCTTTGGCTTTCTTCGGCTGGTCTTCAGCCATGCTGTCAAATTCAACAATGCCATCCACGATGGTCAAATTTGACGATCGCCAGTTGCCAACGACCAATGGCCATTAACCACGACCCACTTGATTCGCATCTTCCCATATACTCGTTTGAGTGTGGGAGGGTGTTACAGTTCCGGATACATGATCCGGATCCACGTGGCTGTACCACGCCACACATTTTGAAGACAAAGTCAGACCCGAACCCACGAGCGGCCAACGACGCCCCTACATGCCAAGGAAACAGAAAAGGGCCGCCGCCCTTCGAACTACCCCGGCCCTATATTTTTACCAGCTCCAGATGGCTGGTCCTACTTAGCTTAGTCATAGCGTTAGATTGCTACTACTCTGGTCCGTAATGACTGTCCACTTTACCGTTTTATTGGCGGAATTTTTATAAAACTGCATTGCTGCCTACGCTGATTGGACAGATCGACGGCGCGTTATCTTGGCTTTGATTGGTGCTTTTAACCACTCAAATCCGAGTTTTCGTCGCCGAGATATCGCTACTTACACTCAACGACCACGGCGGGAAAAACACGAAAACTTACGCCAGTCTTTCATAACACAACTCTACGCCTTGTGCTCGCGTCTCCACTCTTTTCTTTACATTGCGCATGCCCCGGGCCAGTCGCCCCCACGGCACGACCTGTACAGACTCGTCGTGGGGTCGGTCAAACCTGACTGACCTCGAGCAGCGCGGAGTCTATGAACGGCTACTAGCCTTGTCGATAGAAGGCAAACTCCATCACACGGCCTTCCGAGAGGTCGCGCAGATGTTCCACTGCCACCAGCGCACCGTAAAGCGTGTTTGGAACCGCGGACAAGCCT